GCAGCGCGGATTGTTCCGTAGCGGTTGCTGCATCATTTCACGTGGATGCTTCCGCTGCTACCGCGGCGGCTACAGCCGCGGATGGTCCTGCTTTATCCGTTGTTTTCTTCGTCTTCTTTGGTGACATGATAAGCTCGAGCAACAACCACGGTGGGCGCCAATGCTGTTCTGGGCCGGAGGCCTCCGAACACCGGTTGCGGCGCAAGTGAAATCAAGCACGAAAGATGATGAATACGGGACACAAGTGAGATAAGTAGATTGCTTATATTCCACTTGGTCCTCTCCTTACAATCCCCCGGTGGGGGCTATTTATACACGCCGTAGGCCTTTCATGGGACACAAATGCCCTTACAACCACTACAAATTCGAAGAATATTCCCCGCCGCCCGGGGCATGCTTGCCATCTAGAGCTCCCGCCTCCCATGGTTTCCGCCTGCCGTGAGTGACCTGACCGGCCCTAGGTGTGGTGTCGCCCTCTCGACCAACAAGGTGGGCCCCCGGCCGATAGGAATTGTTGGCCACACGAGGTGAATAGCTCCCCCAAAGGCGAAACCTGCAAGGAAACTGGTAAGAGAACAACTAGCACCTATTCGCCCGAGCGAATAGTCCGGCCCGACGGGGCCCTAGCCCGGCGTCACGCTGAGTTTGACCGCGTCGCCCCCTCGCCTAGGCAAAATGGTGTAACCTAAGATGAATGTTGTCCCGCCTGGGCGAGGTACGAGCCTACACGGCCTCTTTTCGACTGGACGAGATGCGGGCTCGAGCGTGCTCATTTCACCCTTGCGAAATGAGGACGCGCGCATGCCTATTTTATCTCAGTGAGATCAAGACCCGAGCACACTCCACTTCACCTTCCTTTCGCCTATGTGAGGTGCGGGGGTGGCATCCGAGCTATGTGCGGTGCCCAGTGGTGGGGCCTGCCCCCAACACCAAGCCAACCACGTCATCTCCACATGGCTAGTTCCCTCTTCAAGTGCCAGCGTGGTACCTCAAGTTACGCCATGACCTCTGGCCTTATTCAAAGGGTTTGTGTTCTGAAAATCTAGTGTTCGTAGAGGACGACGACAACAACTAGTGTTCGTAGCTCGAGGCATAGTGACTGGCAGCCAAACGCTAGAGCAGCAGTAGAGGCCACGTCTGCACGCTGAAGCAACTGGAACCCATAGCAACATTGTGAAATAGCTCGAGCGATAGCTGCGTGAGAAAAGTGAGAAAAAGAGGATGAAAACAAGGGCAAAAGGATCATCTTAGAGCATCTCCAAGAGTACCAAAAAATACTTCTAAAAAACTGGTTTTCCAACCTTCCCAAAGCATACTGGGAGGCAGGAAAAAGATGCAACTCCAACAGTTCCCGAAAATTAGATTCCAAAACTTCATCCTCTCCTGATCTGCTCGTCGTTGGGCACCACTTGGTCGGCTGGTTCGACAATTGTTGCTGATGCCATCGAGCCGAGCTACGTCGGCTGCGTGCGCCACTCCGGGGCGCTGAGAACTCACCGGCCACCTGCTTCACGACGGTGTCATCCTCCTCAAGCTCTGGGATGCTCTCTTCCTCCCACACCTCTCGCCTTGCCTGCGTGTCCACGTCCTTGCGCATGGCTGGCCAGGGGCGGTTATGATGAGGTGGAGCGCCGCGGCGACTGACACGAGCGTCCGCCACGACGTGCAAGCAGATCAGAATGATAATGAAAACGAAGAAGAATGAAGCTGCGTTTTGTAACCAGGTCAGGATGAGAAGATGACCAAACTCAAACCAAGATCAATCTGCATGCAGCTCCGATGACCGTCCACCGGCCTTGGTTCCTCCCAAGGCATTGCCCGTGGTTCCTCCCCAGACCATCCATTACTCAAGGCAAAAAAGCAACGGTCAGCAGACAATAAAGAAAAGAGCGGAGGGCACGTATGGCGGCGCCGCTGATGACGACTGCGACGACGCTCGACAGCCATGGCAGGCCCATCGCAGACAACGTCCGCAGAGGTGGTGGCGCCAGAGCCAGCGCGACGCCGATGGCGGGCAGTTCCGGCCTTGTCCATCCGTAGCAGGCGCTTGACCCGGGCCTAGTCTACGACCCCACGGAGCGGGACTACCTCGACTCCCGGAGAAAACCAGCACGAGGAGGGATACGCGCGACGGGGAGTACGCGTAAAGTTATGCGCAATGGGGGAGTTTTTCCCAAGTGTTAAAAGATTAAGAGGATGGATTAAAAGTTATTGGAGAAGGGTTTTTTCCAATCTTGCTAAAAAACAAGGATTGGAATAAGATTTAGGATACTCTTGGAGATGCTCTAACTCTCAATCTGAGAAATTGATAAAATAACCGTTATACTATCTTACAACAAATGATCATGATTTCATAATAGTATCTAGCAAATTTTAACATTAGAAAGCCCCGTTGACTCCTAGAAACAAAAGAAAGGGAAGGGAAGTGTCACCCACCCAGTTAGGAGAGCACACAAACAAGCAGAGCCATTATGACCACATATTTAAGGGGCTATTGCGTTTCTACCCTTACTTTGAACCCTAATTGTGATTTTACCCTCGCTTTTCGCCATGTTGCATTTTTACCCTTGCTTTGTAAAAACGAACACTCAGTCTACCCCTCTTTATAACTCTGTTAGATGTTTATGTAAAAAAATTAAAAAAAAGGAAAAGACAGGCTGAGAAGTATCTAGGACAAAAATAACCTTCCACTCACCCGTGACTCTCCTATCCATCCCGATGCGGTCTCGGCCTTCTATCACGGGCATGGCCTTTCAGGCAGTCTTGCGGTCTGGCTCGCGGCTGAACGATGCGGCTCGACGGTGGCTGGTCAACAGTGGCCGCTTGTGGCCTTGCTGGGGCGGCATGGAGGGGCCCCTCGTGGTGCGACCAGCGAGTCTTTGAAGGCGTGGCGTGGCTCGCAAGACTCGGGCAAAGACGGCAGGCGGCAGGGCGGCCGCGCGACTACTGGGCGATGGAGGAGCGGCCGGGAGGGGCGTCTGGGCGACGCGGCCGGCGGGGCAGCCATGCGACGCGGAGGTGCGGCTGGGCCGGCCGGCCTGGGCGTTGCCTAGGGTTTCCCTGGGCAGCCACCTAGGGTTTGGCTGCGCAGCATGGCAGGGGCGCTCGGCAAGGGCGCTGCAGGTCGGCTGGCGGCCATGGAGCCAGAGGATGGCGTGTCCAGAGCCACGGAGTTGGTGTCTAGGTACAAATTTTCCTCCTCTGTGAATGCGTATTGGCCAATTGTGGATCGAATTAATCTCGTTCTTCAGGCAATTACGCTAATTTGGTTTCAATTGCTCTGATTTGTAGGCAAAATCATATGAATTTGAATCTGGTAGTTAGGGTTCTGTCATTTTTCAGTTTGCCTGATGGGGGACCAAAAACATGTCGACAGGGTAGAATCTTGCCTACTCAAGTTGTTGACATGCATAGCTTCAATGTTCTGCAACTAGTTAATTTCATAGCTGAGCATTACATGTGGGGTTCAAAATAGTATATAACTCTATGGCGTCCATTCGAGGGTATTGAGATTAAAACTGATGAGCAGTTGCTTGAGTGGTTTGATCTCAATAAAGACAAGGGATTGGTGCACATTAATGCCCAAATTAATGACTTTGAGGGTCCTTTGCAGTTTTCACCAACAAAACGTAGGTGCCACCCTTCTGTGAGGAATAGAGTGCCCACCAATGAGACAAACACTGAGAGACCCACATCCACAAAGGAGAAGGAGAGAGCCACCAAAAAAAGAGAGCCATCAAGAAAAAGAGAGACACCAAGTCCAAAGAAAAAGGGGTAGAGGAAGAGGAAGAGGAAGTGCAAGTGCTGCAAGTGCAAGTGAAGCACCTGGAACTGAAGGAGCAAAAGGGGCTAGAACACAAGGAAGAGGAAGAGGAAGAGGGAGGTTGGCTGCATTGTTAGGAATTGTGTGATTATGACAATGAACATGTAATATCTCACTATTAGCTACTGCTTTTGTTGGACTTGTATGTTGATGATGGATTGTTGGTTGTGTATGTTGGATGATGGATGTTTATGTTGGATGATGGTTGCTGCGCTTTTGCTACACATACTTGTGATGTGATATTATATATTATGTGCAATTATATGTAACAAGTTGTACAATGATACTGCCATTTTTTTAAGAAAACAGGGGTAAAATCACAATGAACTCATAAAAGTAAGGGTATTTTTGCAAGGGCAAAGTTGTCCTTGGCAAGCCCATTTAACCCCGTTAGCTGCTGTTAACAGAGTAGGGGTAGACTGAGCGTTCGTTTTTACAAAGCGAGGGTAAAAATGCAACATGACGAAAAGCGAGAGTAAAATCACAATTGGGGTCTTGTTTAGATCACCTCTAAATTCTAAGTTTTTTCACTCTCTCTCCATCACATCAATTTTTGGACACATATATGGAGCATTAAATATAGGTAAAAAAAATAACTAATTACACAGTTTGGTTGTAAATCACGAGATGAATCTTTTGAGCCTAGTTAGTCCATGATCGGATAAAGTTTGTCAAATACAAACGAAACGTGCTACAGTATTCATGATACAAAAATTTGCAATCTAAACAAAGGCTGGGGTTCAAAGTAAGGGTAGAAACACAATAGCCCCCATATTTAACCAGCATTTTCGAATCCCTAAACTATCGAGACCTGACCTTTACTGCTAGATTCTGCGTAAGCACGATTACACAAAGGCTGATGTAGTCAAGAAATGATTATCTAACTTTAAAACGACTGATTCATCACAAATGGCACAGTTGAAATCTAAACCACACAACTCAGTAGACTACAGAACATAGATGCTTGAGCGCCACACAAACTACAACAGTATACAGTTGGTCAGTAATCGTAATTACTGACACTAGATTTAGAGGCATCTCAAGCACCAATGCCAACAGTATCCAAACAAAGTATTCAAATCTATTGGCTGCCCTACACGGAAGATTCAGCTTACAACTCTCGTCAAAGGCTCCTTAGTTCTTGGAGCATTGTCGGCAATTCAGATCTCTCATAGCATCAAGCCTTGGCCCTCTTGCTTCCTGTGCAGGAGGGGCACTTGTACTGCTTGATGTGCTCCGCTTTAGCTGGGGTGATCTTGACACACTTGCCGTGGAACCATGTCTCGCATAAGTCGCAGCAGATCCAGAAGTCATCATAACCTAGGCCACATGTGCCGCACAGGGCAGTCTCATGGTCTTCCTGTGGTTCCCCTTCCTCCCCTTCACTCTCCTCCTCGTCCTTTGGTGGCGGCATCTTTGGGACCCTTGAGTTGGGTTCCGCCTGGCGTGAGGGCTGTGTATTCATCAAATGCTCAGCGTCAGCCATCAAAGGAGAATCATGGAGTTAGGTGGCTGGTTGTCATGTCCAATGATATAGCTATGTGATAAAAAAAACTATACCTTTGAGCCAGATTTGTTAGCCTTATTGTTGCTTTTAGGAGTTTTTTCTTTGAGCTCTTTCTTGGCAGTTCCTGTGACAACCTCATATATGCTGGGAAGGTTATTGATCATGGTGAAGAGACGTTTCCTGCAAGGCAACCACCAGAAGGTGACTCAGACTGCTTTAATTATACAAAGGAAATTTAGTCCCATATGGCTTTGATCAAAATCTAATAATCTATAATATGGAATTCATGAGACATCAGGAACAACGATTTCATATTAAACATATATAAAATAAAATATGATCCAAAAGGTAAGGCGGCTAAAGTAACAATGAAATGAGGCAAGTTACTGTCAAACACATCAAAACACTCCAGTATAGTATTTTAAGGTCATTCTTAAAGGCTTAGGAAAACTTGATTCCAACTAATTGGTCCTAAACTTTTGTGGAACAAGGGTGAAACACGAGAAAATAACCTGCATTATTTAAACCACTATTGCGTCTAATAGATTTAATCCACAACAATGTAGCAGCCAATGTTACTATTCCTAATGATAAATATGCAAACTGGTTTGTTTACAAAACATCTGATCTTCAATCATGCATTGAATGCTCCAGCTGATACATACTTTACTTAATCAATAACAAGATAGGCCCAGTAGCACCCAGAAGCTGAAGATAGGCCCAGTAGCACTCAGAAGCTGAAGATAGGCCCAGTAGCACAACACTAGTATCTACGCAGAAGTAACTGGACACATGAAATGTTCATAGTCTAAGCTTCACCAACAGAAAAAAAAGTAAGACCTCAAAAGCGACACTACACCCAAAATAGTTGACAGCTGCCACTATCTGACATCAACTGGAATAAGGATTCTGTAGTTGTAAGTTGACTGCTCAACAACATTAGCAGCAGATCGAATGTGCAATTGTTCCATGAAAAAGATGTGCAACTAGTAATCTCCCACCCAAATGTGACAATTGGGCATATTTCCCAGTCATATCATTGGAAAAAAATACCAGTTTGGGAGGAATGGGGTTATGAAATACCATTTTCCATCTTCGTCGTTCTCACCTATCACTATACCCATCTCTTTCTACTGGTTTCTAAATCAAAACTCACTTTGGATTTTGATAAGAATAACATAGTGATTGCATTTTGGTTTTGAAAATGGAAAAAAAAAAAGAAACTCGGCCAGTAGGGAAAAACCACGCCCACAGTATTGCTTGGAAGAAGAAACTTAGTCTTCAACCGACCAAGAAACCCCCGAACCCTGACAGTGCAGACCCTATAGCACCACACCGTAACCTAGGCCGACAGCTGCCATGGTTACCATAGGCCGGCGCCAGCGAGGAGGTTTTCACCAACCCTGAAATTTGCTCCCATGGGGAGTCAAACCCAGGTGCTGGAGATGCTACTCAGAAGTCACAACCGCTAGGCTATGAAACCTTTCACATAAAGAAAATGAATACTCATGAGAAACAATAACTGGTTCTTAAACTATGAAATACTTGAGGGAGGTCCATTGGCAAGAAACATTTACATAACAGTCAAAACAGAAAAATCTTATCTTAGGATAAAACAAATGGAATACCTGGATTCCTTGTCGAATCCAAACCTTGCTCCAAAATAAAATGCAACAGACATTAGCCAAGAATCACTATGCACTGCAACAAGTGATAGCCAATCTTTTTCATTCATCCCATCACGAGCAAAATTAATTCCCAGAGCTGGCTCTGGGAGTTCAGGAGGGACCTCCTCAGCAGGCAAGTTCACTTCCCAAGTCTCATTGGGAAGTCCATATAAACATAGGTTCTCCTTCTCTGCACAAAACAAAAGAAAATATTATCTCAAATAAGGTATTTGCGGTTGTTTCAGGCTCTAAATCTAGAATAGCTCACTTTAAACGAAAGTGAATCAAGAGACATAAAGCTGAGATTCTGCAAACGCAAAAAAACAGGATGAATAGGAGAGACTAAATTGACCATATAAAATTAAGCATTCCATCTCTCCTATGTGTTCTTAAAAAAATATAGATTGAACATTCCATGAAAAAAAAGGAAAGGGACACAAAATGGCAGACTTTTTGACCAAAAGCATGAAAAAGAGGGACTATGGCTAGACATGAATAAATCAGTTCCATATCAACCACCAATAAAAAGACTATTCCCCATGCACATTGCTTGCCTTTCCCACCCACAACTTTTGATCAGTACTGAGCAACTCATCTTGCATTTCCAGTGACACCTCTTGGTACCAACTTCCTGTGCTAAGCATCTAATAATGTTGGCAATTTAATGTGGTAAAGATACAGATTTTGACCCTGTTCGGCTAGTTGGAAAAACGGCTGATGCTGATTTGTTGCAAGAGAAAAACACTGTGATTTCGCTGAAACGGTACGGCTAATAAGTTTCAAGCGAACAGGGCCAGATCCCACGCATCTGTGGGAAACAAAATCATAAATGTGACACTAATAACCAACATACTCCCTCCGTACCAAAAGCTTCCCGGTCCTATCCACAATTATAAGCGGCCAGGGTACATGCATTTGTTTGCCAACTTCTGTCACCATCGACTTAGGTGGGCATTGACAAAGTGGGAAATAAGGGAGTTGAATCAAGGGAAAGGTGCCGTGACAAAGTGCCTGCAATACTCTCATTGCCGTGACAAAGTGCTTGCAATACTCTCATTGGCCATGTTCGCTTATCTTATAATCCGTACTTTTCAACTTGTTTTTTTAGCCGAAACAATATTTTTTTCTCACAGCAAATCAACTGATCGGTTTGCTTGTTTTTTCGGCGATGCGAACCGGGTTATTGCCAAAACCGAGTAAGTTTTGGTGGCCAGAAACGAAACCAATGTTGACTTCGACCACGAAAAAGAAATGCTATCCTGACACTCCCACTACCAGACATCATTAGTGACTCACTGAAGAAACATCCCGAAAATGCCCCTTGTACAGTTGGGGCAGAGGTCGTTGTCCGGGAGCATAACAGTAAATCGACAGCCGCACGACTTTTCGAGATGACTGGCCGGCCGTGCGGTCGACCAGCTCAGAAGATAAGGATTCCCTCCCCCGTTGGCCTTTCCGCTTTCCCACCCCCAGATGAACAGCACAAGGATAACTAGAACTAGAACGTCGCCAGGGGAAACCGAAAGCAAAGCTCCAGCGGCTGTCACCAGCAACATCGGAGCAGGAATTCCGGCGGCCAAATAGCCTCCCAGGGCGCACGAGAACCAACGAATGGGCGGAGGAACGCCGTAAATTAAGTGGAAAAAAACCCGAAAATCAGCGGACTAACCGCCGCCCCACCCCAGATCGGCTTTTTGGAGAGAGAGCTATCCGTAACTTCGAAGCAAACACGCTCCAAATCCGTGTGGTAAAACATCTGAATCCGCACCCCCAAAACCAAAACCCTAGGAATCCCAGCCGGATCGGGGGAGCAGGCAGGCTCACCTGGGTCGCACATCACGTAGAACTTCTCCACATCTGCAGCAGCGACAGCGGGAAACCAGTCGTCAGCACAGAACTCCGAGCCGGAGGGAGGGAGAGAGGAACGCACGCAAGCGAAGGAAGGAGATGCGGGCATTACCGGTGGTGAGCGCCCTGATCAGGCCGGCCTGGCGCGCGCGGTAGTCCCGGAAGACGTCCTCCGGCGAGCGGGGCACCGGCGGCGTGCCCGGGAAGGCGGCTCCTCCGTCCATTCGTCCCCGGAGCTTGGTCAGGGCGGGGGGCGTAGGGTTTTGGGGGGGGGGGGGGAGGGAGGGGCGAGGAGAGCTGGGGATTACACGAGGACGGCGAGGAGGAGTGGATTGGAAGGAATTGGGAAGCGTCGGCGCTGAGATAGAGAGAAGACTTCTCTCTGAGAAAGAAAAGGGGTAGGTCCGTCCTCCTACGTTTGTTCACACGCGCGCAGGCGCAGGCGCAGGCGCGGGCCTTCCAATGCGTCCGATAGTTTGTGGGCGTACTGGGCACACCACTGACCCCCCCCATAAAAAGCTAATGTGGGTGTTTTATTCAACGGCTCAAATTTATTTACCATCAATAAATTTCCCTCAAAAAAATTACCATCATAATTATATTTTTTCGGGTTGTGATACAGTACACGATGGGATTTCTAGGTCACGATGTTTGTCCTTAGAGCTAATGCTCCAGCGTGGGTGTCCGTCCCGCGTCCAAGCAAACGGATGCTTCTAGGTGGGCCTGTGGATCGGTCCACGGTCCTCCACACGACGTATACATGGTTTTAAAAAAAAGGAAAAGAGAGTGACACTTTCTCTATCCAGCATCGACCGCCGTGGGCGCCTCCACGCATCGTCCGCCCTTCGCTCGCTTTCTCCACGGCTGAGGCCACTCGCCGCAGCCCGCAAACCTACTGATCGATCGGCGCGGTTGCCCGACCGCTGCTCGCCTATGGAAAGGGAGACTGCAGCCGCCCGACCGCCATGGGCCGCCTCTACCACGGGGTCCGGACGCCTGGTCGACGGCTAGGAAGACCTTCGCATCCAACACACCGCGCCCTAGCGTCCACCTCCCCGCTCACGGCCATCGCCGGGAGCACCCTAGGAGAGGGGACGTCGTTAGCAGGGCCTAGGCCAGGTGCTGGCGCAGCTGGCCGCTACCAGGCCGCGCCACCATCCTCGCCCGCTGGCTAGCAGAACCGTCTATTCCCCGCTCTGGTTTGCGTCATACGGGAAAATGGTGAAAACGCATGTTGCAAGCTCACATTTTAAATGTTTCAGGTGTTTTAGAGGTATGTTGCAAGCATTTCATACGGATGTTGCAAAAGTAGATCAAAATGTTGCATATGTTGCAATGATTGTACACATATGTTGCAAGAGTCTATCTCTAATGTTTCATCTAGTTTTTTAGACGTATGTTGCAAGCGTATTTATTTGGATGTTCCATATGTTTCACACATGTTGAAAGTATTTTATCTGGATGTTGCGTATATTTGCAATGGTTTTCAAGTGTTTTTAAGTGTTTTTTTGCAAATGTTTCAGGCATATGTTTTAAGTGTTTCATTTACCTTTTTTATGTATATTGCAAGTGTTGCATCTAAATTTTTCAAAAGTAGATCGGGTATTACACATGGGATACGCGTGGGAAGTTGTTGGTATTTCTTAACGCATATAGAAATAATCCGCAAGCGCACGGAATTACCGTTGTAGAATTTCATCCGGAAGTATTCAGGGTATCGTATTTTCACGAGGAACGAAGGTGTAAGAGTCTCTTAAGCTAGTTCAACTAAGATAACAAGAAGAGGAATAGCTCGGGTAGTGAGGTTTTCTAAGGATAGAGATTCTAAGTTAAGATAGCTTTGCCATTATAGGCTTGCTTCGGGCACCGGATAACACTTGGTCTGCCAAGCGTGGCCGGCCTAAAGCTCTACACCATACCCTGACGTGGAAGATTACGAGGAATAGATAGGGCTATCACCACCTGCCGCCTACCCCTCAACCGTGGAGTACAAGGAAAACGAAGGTAGATTCTAGCCTAGACACCACGTCTACGCTATCGACTACTACTCTAGCATCAATCACGGTTATCCATCTTTATCATGGCCTTTACTAGAGTATTTTTCACAAGGACAAACGACAAACCCTCAAGGTATCATATTTCCACGAGGAATGGAAGTGTAAGAGTCTCTTAAGCTAGTTCACCTAAGATAACAAGAAGAGGGACAACTCGGGTAGTGGGGTTTTCTAAGGATAGATATTCTAAGTTAAGATAGCTTTGCCACTATAGACTTGCTTCGGGCACCAGATAACACTTGGTCTGTCAAGCGTTGTGGGCCTACGGCTCTACACTGTACCCGAACGTGGGGAGTTATGAGGGACGGACAGAACTGTCACCACCTGCCGCCTACCCCTCAACCGTGGAGTACAAGGCAAACGAAGGTAGCCTCTAGCCTAGACACCACGTCTACGCTATCGACTATTACTCTAGCATCGATCAGGGTTATCTGTGTTTATCAGGGCCCTTTACTAGAGTATTCATCACAAGGACGAACGATGAACCCACAAGTAAATAATGAACAAGACTAACTTAAAGTAGAACTCACCATCGAAAATAAACACAAACCTTATACTCCAAGTAGTATTCGGTTTGTAGAGGTACAAGTAGAGAGGAGCCAATGATTCCCGGCATTCCTTCCGCTAAGTGTACAAGAGGCCCCGAGTACACAAGAGGAGGTAGCTGACAACTCCGGTACTTCTCCACTCTTACTCACTCACTCCCTACACTAGAACTAGCTAAAGAGCTAAGATAGGAATGAAGCTCTTCTCTTCTTGTCACATTGTGTCTCTCTTGTGTTGGATTCATCAAATGAGGAGGAGGGAGCCTCCTTTTATAGATGGAGAGGAGGGGGTTCTTTGGAATATTCCCCATTCCCATAAGGAAGGAGCAAACCGACGTCTCAGCTTTAATTTTACCGCCAACCCACCACAACCGACCATAGAGAGGCGGTAAGAGGCGGCCTACAAAAACTTAGCCCAAAAGGGCCCGCTAGGGGTGCGGACACACCAGGGGTTCGGTCGCCCCAAATGAACTCCGATTGAGCCTAATTTTGGTGGGTGTCTTCTTGAGGGCTTCCTGATTGGGCCTATAAAGTTTGACATGATTTGGAGGTGGTTTGCTTTGGTCTTGGCCTTTCTGTCCTCATGTTTGGGCCCTGATTTGCCTAGCGACTGGGCCTCTTTTCTTTGGGCTGGAGTAGAATTGATATTTATCCTTTGCTCTTTAGCCTTTTATGTGTATTTCCACAAATGCCCTCCAGCAAATGGTCAAACGCCAAAACTTGTAGAATTGATTAGTTATAAGTCCTAATTCTAAGTTTGGTGTCCATATTAGTTCATTTTATGTGTTAGTTGGCGGTTAATAAAAGTAGTTAAGCACTGCCAACAAACTCCCCCACACTTAGCCTTTTGCTCATCCTCGAGCAAAGTTAGAGATAAAAGTAATCATGAGCATAACATCCTAAAATATATGGCTTACATAAAAGTTATTCCAACACATTCTTTACACAAGTGGGATTTGTGGCGTTAGCTAACATGTTTCCTTGGGTTGTTGAAAAGTGGAATAGTTCTTAAAACAAAGTCATCTTCCCAATTTCACATCTTAGCATTTAGAGTTTTGAATGTTTTTCTCAAGAAAAGCATAGTTCACGTTATACTCCTTAAATGGCACTCTCAAATCACTCAATGGTATATACTTCCTCACCAAGGCATAGCAATGTTTTGCCTTCTTTTGTTTTCTCCTACTTCTAAAAGGATTATGTGGAGCTTTAGGTAGGGATAAACAAAATAGCATAGTTGTATGGCATATGTTGTAAAGTCAAATCGAGGATCCAAGGAGAGAAGTGTCATACTCTTACATAAAGATGTGCATGTGTGTGGAAAAAGATGAACTAATACTATACTACTTTTGTAAATATGATCTCTCTATAACTTACTATTTTTGAAACATGGCTATCTTTTTTCTGTTTTTTAATACATGAGCCTTCATGTGCTTATCTTTTTTTTTCTTTTTATACTTGGACCTTCATGTGTCCATGTTTTTTTATAAACTTTTTACATAGCCCATGTCTCTTTTTCTAAACCTCATATTTAGAGAGAGATCACTATCTTTTAGAACATAGAGTATTTACCTAACAAATATTTTTTGTCTACTTCCAGTGTAGGAGCAGAGTTTTTGGTGGATGGAAGCATGTTTTTGCGTACTCCTGGTGTATGAGCAGCATGTGAGTGTGGAGTGTACGTGATCTTGATCTTGGGAGCATGATAAGTCTCTCAACAAGGGTCAACAAGACTTGACCAAACTAAATACAATAACAAGCAACGGATGTGGAAGGCTTAAAACTTGCTAGATGTTATTTTTGGCCTTGGTAGGAATTGCTCACCAAATGAGGAGTATGTGATACTATGGTTTTATAACATTTTTATCAAAACAAATTCTCCAAGTACTTCGAATAGAAATGGTAGGATTTCTAAGTCAGAACTATATCACATCTCACAACAACTTAGTCAACATGATTGTCCTATTATAATATTTTCCCACAAGCATAAGTGTATGTATATGGAACAAACATTATGCATGCTTCTATCTTAAAGCTGTTATGAACATGTTACTTTTCAAAATTCTAAAAAAGTGTGGATTGCATAGGGGCATTGTTTGGTTCATTGAGTTTATTTTTAGTGATCAGAATTATGTTTGTTTTAAACTCAAAGTTTTGTAGGGAATTGAGGGTAGTGTTGTACAAACCATTGGTTTAAAGAGGAAGGAGTTAAGGGATTCAGATGTGGTTTGGCTAAACCAAAGGCTCAGCCAATCCTCTCTAAAGCTATATGTCCTGTTCTTCTACATGATGATCGTCCGAGGATGTGTAACGTGTTGGTGGGAGATCTCGAATATGTGCGTGTTGAACTTGAGAGATCTCCCCCACACTTATTTTTGTACATGTTTTTTATTCAACAAAGAAACAAAAGTGAAACAAGCAAGGGCTTTATCGGTTTGAACACCCGGGAGCCTAAATCTTGATAGTATGTTCTTGCTTTTATTGAAAAGGTGCATACTATCTTGATAGTATGTTCTTTCTTTAATTGAAAAGGAAAGTTGTGTTTTTTTTATAATCCAGGGTATCTCCCGGCAGTGCTTAGTTTATGGTCTCAAGCTTGATCGCCAAAGCTAGGACTGAGTTCATAGC